CCTGCTGCAGAATGCTAGATCTTTCAAGACTGCTTGACACATGTATATAGCTTACACTGAGCAGAAAGGAAAGGAAAATGTGAGTTTTTGTTTTTGTTTTGGGGTTTTTTTGAGGGCATAAAGGAAATGGTGTAGTATTTTCTTGCTTTGCTTTTCTCTCTGTCCAGTGGCTTTCTCTAGCTTCCCATGGTTCACCAGGAACAATAAGACAGTTCTGTTTCTTTTTTGGCCAGCCTCATCAAGTGTTAGGGAAGAAAATGTCTATCTCCTTTAATGTGGTTCATGAACAATTGGTGGATGTTTTGTTTGCATAAGCAGAACTCACTCAGCAAAGTGTTTTCCTTGCTGAAGGCACTACTGATGTGTTATTTGAATGGTGTTGTGGAGCAGGTCTCTGAACACACATTTGCCTCCGTGAGTGTGGTTATAAACATCCACTAGTAGAGACTGGGGTATTATAAAGCCTAATCTCTTCACACGTTATTTTTGTATCGGGATATTTTTTAATATGCTCACTGACTATGCCCATATGCTTTGAAATTTTTGTCACGTATATTGCCTCATTATTGCTTATCAACAAATAAGGTAGTGCTGGCCTGGCAGAAAGAGGACAATAGAGAATGCTTGATTTCTGTAGAGACAAAGCCAACCGTAGGAGTCATCAAGGCGACATGCTATCTTACAGCTCTCCAAATGAATGCTAAGACTCTGTTACGTTAGAAAGTTATTATTGAGTCAAAGTGGGCCATTGGCTTTCAACTCTAAAAGACAATCAATAGCTTGTTTTCAACAGACTTTCTTCACTCAGAATATGCCTTTTGCACAATGTTGCATAACACAGAGGGGGAGCAGAGGTTAGCAAGTACCAAAAAGGATCACTTAAGAGTGCCAGCCACTGATGCTAGGAGAAACCATAGTTGGATGGTTTGCAAAGTTAGAGGCATCATCGTCTATTTTGAGCAGAGCTACCTTCATTTCAAAAGGTCAGTTCTAGAAGGTCAGCTAACAGTGGTCAGTGAGATGTAGAAATGTCCACAGGGACTTGATCTACACAGCACAATATACATATTCAATAATTTGACTTTGGTTAGAGGCATCAATCAACAGATGAGCTGCTGACTAAAGTATTTAGTCAGAAGGATTGAAAGCCTCTCCATAAGCTATGGTGAGCCTATTAGGAAATGCCATCCTAATAACTAAGGTGAAATGCATTACCTAAACTAACTCAAGCAGCTATTAGCTTTCAGGTTTATTCTTTTGATAAGTGTCTCTGTTCCTCACTTGGCTGCCATCCTTTGTTCGGAGGAGATTTGTCCATGGCTAATAGTGCCTAGTTTAAATTATTCTTGGCTCAAAATGTAACTGTCATCCTGCAGTAAAATGGGACTCAGCTATATTGTATCCTACTGCTAGACTAAAGTATTCAACTTCCTAAAAAATATTCAACAGTATGGCAAACTTTCATGTGTGCACCCATGGACTTTCCCATTTTTGTGAATTATTGTAGCAAATTTTAATTTCATTTGTCATTAATTTCTTCTAGTTGTCTGAGCAGCCTTACTCTTCGTGTATTTGTACGTACAAGGGATATAAACTGGTATCTAATATCAGTATTTACCAAACCTCATGAAGAAGACTAGAAAGATTGACCTCTCAAGTTTAAACCACATGCTAAAGCCAAAATCTCAATTTAAGATGCTCGAGTCCTTGGGATTCATAACAGCAATATATGCCTCTTTTCTCCAAGAAACTTGATTTTGAAAAAGAAAATGCACAGAATTTGCAAGATGTTTCAAAGTGAATTGATAAGAATTGAAATGGAGACAACCAGTTGGTTGTTGTTCCTCTCTTGTTGATGATTTGCATTTTCCTCCCACAGCCGAACTCCAGACCTGCGGCAGCGCAGAGTGGCAGACACTCAGTGTCGGTGGAGGTGCAGCTGCAGCGACAGCGGCAGGAGGAGCGTGACAGCTTCCAGCAGGCACAGCGCCAGTACAGCTCCCTGCCCCGGTATGTCCCCTCCCAGCCCTGTAGGAAACGCTTCTTCTCGTGTTGCACTGGCTTCTCCACCTGCCTCCAGGTAGCCACAGAGGATGAATGGAAGGGGAAATGGATAGTGGTTGCTTAGCTCGGAAGGGCATCCTACCACATAGCAAGAAGACTAGAAAGGAAGGTGTCTCACGAGATGCCAACGTTTTCACCCCAAAAGCTCCCTAATCAAAAGTGAAGCATCATGACGCCTGAGTACTGGCTGAAGAGTCAGACCTGGGTTCTAGTTCTGCTAGCTGGGTTCTGCTACTTTCCACGTGGTGGTGGACAAGACAATTTCCTCGTCTGAAAAATGGGAAGCTAACTCTTACTTTGCTTAGCTCATAGCTAGAATTACCGACACTTTGTAAATCTAGAGCTCTCTAAAAGGATCAGGGTGAATGTTCCATGCACCGGACCTAGGTGGGAACAGTGGTCCCAAAGCTCTCTCACTGTCTTGTCCTCCTGGCCGTTGTGTACTGTCAAACCTCACCCAGGGATGCTCAGCTCACTAGCTGACAAAAGACTCAAAAGCTCTCAGATGACTGAGCCCTAATACATTGAAATAATAGCCACTCTGCCTTTAAAGTATTTCTCCTAGGCAGAATAAAGAATAAAAGTGTGGAAGAGCACTCAGCTTTTCAAGCTCCCCAAACAAGTCACTCCTATAGTCAAAATTATTAAAGGTACTTATTGTCTTTTTTCTAAACCAGGTGACAAAGACATTTTGAGTGGTAAAAGTTCCATTTGCCATGTTGACATCAAGTAGACTGTTTTGAATTTGAGCAAAACAGTTTTTAAGAGGAGGCAAATGCTTAACCTGTGTATACTTGACTGATGGATGTGAAAGTGATCTTGATTCAATCTCTAACAAAGATGAGTCCCTTCAAATGTTCAGTAATGACCATAACAGCCACAAGGGACTTCACCACAGTGAGAAGAGCCAGTCAAGGGAACATGGACGTGAATGGAAATCTCCACCAGGATGAGTGTGTGTAGTAACTTGTTCATTAGTTGTTCTTTTTCAACCCATAAAGCTATATCTCCCTTAAAATTACTTTTTCTTTTAAATAGGAGAACTACCCACTAACAGTAATGTAGCCCATTCTAGGTAAGAGTCATTAAAATTTAGGTCTGGAGAGGGTTTTATGGATCATCTTGACTTGTAAGGAAACAGCTCAGAGAAATTAAGTAACTTCCCCCAAGGTCACACAATTAGTAACTAATTTGCCAGAAGTCAAACCGAAACCTGGTGCCCATGCCCTAATCCATTATTTTACTAGGCCCATTGTTACCAAGGGCTTTTATTCCCAACTTTGGGGTATTAATAGGTGTGATGTTTCCCTCTGTGCTCTACTGCCCTTAGCATTGGGAAGAAGACCACTGTAGGAATCAACCCAATGAATCTGAACACTTTAAGGATTATGCATGTAGGTTTACCTGTGTAGAATCCCTTCTCCCGTCCTGTTTGGCTTACGTTCCATTGGAAAGGGGGACATGGTAATGCCTGGTGTGGCCCTGACCATGCAGCCACATGGGTAGGCCATAGAACTTCGTAGCTTGTGTGGAATGGGGTTGTCAGTGCAGGGGCCCTGCTCTTATTTTTATTGGCAAATTGTTTGGCATCATATATTTCAGCTATGTTTGAGAGTATTTATAAGAAATGGGGAAATGTGACAAAGTGTGTGTAATAAGAGGAGTGACTTGAGAAATATAAAGGGCTAAGAAAGGGAGGTAGGAGAGACAGTAGTGGGAGGGCCTGGAAGGTGGGACAGCTAGAAGGAAAAGAGACACTAGGGTCCTGACCCTTGGGAACAGGAAAAAGACGCAGGTGCTTCCCCTGAATTTCTCCTGGTCACATTCCAGAGGAGCTCAGGCGTTGCAAACTGAGCCTTTTCTCCTAGCATTCCCGTCTCCTTCTTCATTCTTAACCCCCTCCTTTCCTACCACCTCCTCTTCCTTTCTCTCCCTCTCCCTGCTGAAGCCCCTTCTAGAAGAATCTACATTTACATGCAGAAGAGAGTTGCCGCCGCCGCTGCTGCTAGTACTTCTCTTGTTACTCAGTGTTTCCCTTACTAGCAACAACTTTCCCTCTGGGTTAATTACAGCTCACTATTTTTAGTCATTTTATTCTGTGTAGTTAAGAGAAAAGCAGTCATTCCCAAATTAAAGAGTTAAGTAAGTTCTATATCATGTTCTTCTCTTTTTTTAGACAGTAATTTCTCAATGTGCATCTTCATATTTGTGAGGAAGTTTAGGAACATAGAACCCTGCACCCAGCTTGATTCCTTGCAGAGCAACACCACTCAGCAGCAAGCGCTGTGCAGGAATCTGAAGGAAGGTGAAGAGATCCCACAGGAGGTCAGAGGGGACTGCAACAGCCTACATGAGCTTGAGACCAACCCAAGTTTCTGACATGTGATATTCTTCAAAGACACTTGACCCCTGCTTTCGGATGTTGACAATTAGCAGAGTTTTGTCTAAACAAGTTGGTATGGCATTTGAAACCGAAAAGATTATACACACACAAAAAGTTCACTTACAAAGTGAAACATAAATAAAACAAATGGTCCAAACTTTGTATCAGTTGCATTAGATAAGGTGGTTTGAATTAGAGGAATGTATATGAACCAGAGTGGTTTGTAAATTCTAACTGTAATTAAGAAATCTATGGGCAGAATTCAATTTACATTTTGAAATGTCAGTAAGAAACACTAGCCAGGTGGTCACACTACTCTGGGAGGAAAGGACCCCTGAGTGGCCCCACACTCAATTCTTAATCAGACTAGATGTTTTCTTTTTTTTAAAAAAAAAAAATTAATTTATTTTTTATTGTAAAGTGACAACTGACAATTCTATAAATGTATGGGGTACAAAGTCATGTTGTGATTTATGGACACAATGTGCAATAATTAAATCAAGCTAGTTAATATATCCATCACCTCAAATACTTAACATTTTTTGTGATGAGAACATTTGAAGTTTATTCTCTTAGCAATTTTGAAATGTACAATACTCTGTTATTAGCTATCTTCACCACACTGTGTAAGAGAGCTCAAAAGAAATCCCACATTTCTCCTGTCTGAGATTTTGCACCCTTTGGATATCATCCTTTTTTATTCCTAAATTAGTTTCTTTTTTTAGTATCCAAAAGGCAACTCTCAAACTGACTAGAAGAGATATATGCAGTCAGAGTCACTGATTGAAAGACTTAAGATCCTTGATTAAATATTTTTCTTTGTTTTCCCTTCCTGCTGTCTTTCTTCCTGTTCCTCTTCCTCCTCTCCCTTGGCCTGGTGTCTGCCACGTCCGACTTCCTGCTTTGCACGCCTCACCCCCGAGCCGTTCCTCTGCACCCTAGTGTGGTGGCCCCACCAGGCCCATTCACTGTGTCTCCAGTCTGCTTACCAACTGTACAGCCTGGGTCTTTATCTCTTTCTTCATCCTTCTACGTCCGTCTCACTTTGGTGGCTAAATGGCTTTCCTTAGGCATTGGGTCTTTGGTTTCAGTCCTTCACATGAGAATGGTCTCAGGCCATATTGGAAGTCGTTGTAATCATCAGGAGATAGTAATTTGAATGGATGCAGAAATCTCCAGTGGGCTCATTGGAGGACCAAACAAATCTACGTGTGTAAGACATTCAGTGACAGGACATTGATGTTTTGTTGCTGATGTTATTTGCGACCTTTCACTGACAGATCATGGGACTTCCTTCTAATGTCTACGTCAGTGTTTGTGGCGTTGCCCTTACTTAGAGTTCATTAGTTATTCTTTGCTGACTTTCCCTGCCCTATGACTTCTACCCCATCCCTCTGCCCAAGGAAGGGAAAGCTAACATTTTTGTTTATTTTTTTTCTTTGATCAGAAAGATGCCCCCCAAAACCCAGAGCCTAGTCTTTGAGGGCAAAGTGACTTTGTCTTCAAACTACTCTGACACCTCTTACTCAGGCATTTCCTGGGTGCCAGTCACTTTCCTAAGCACTTTACGTGTGTCATTTCATTTCTTTCTCCCCACAGCTTTTTTTTTTT